GCAAACGTTTTGAGAATGATGAGGGCAATGAATGTACAAATGTGCTTTACACAATTGATGTATGTATGGATTGTGATAAGAGTCATATGAGCCCCTAATAAAATGATTTTTAAAAATGTTAAAACAAATATCTTTAACACTCCTACGCTTCATATTTAAAAAGTGCATCTTTATTTTGTAATTGAACAAGTGTTACAGCTAGTTTTGCCACACTTCCACCTGAACTATTTCTCAATCAAAATAAAATATAGCATACAAAACAGCATTGCACATAAAAAATTGTTCTTAAAATGTTTTAATGTGAATCGGCATGTTTGTTTGTGGTTAGTGTGCATAAACAGGTGGTGGGAATTTACTGCTTGACCACACGAGGACTTTGAAGCACACAGTTAGCTGCAGGGACGAATGCAAACTATCCAGGGTTAGTCAAATTCAAGCTTATCCGATTCAAATGCACTGTTCGCTTATTTGCCTCTTAATTATGAGAACAAACCATTTGTAAAATTGGGGGGGACAAATTGCAAGAAACTGAGGGGCTAATCCATTTGGGTACCAGGTCAGCAGAGTCAAATGCTATTTTTCCTTTATGTTTACAAATAGAACTTGTTATAAGGAGGGGGAAAAGTCCCAAATTAAAATATCCTCTACATAGAAATATTTTTAAAACTACTACTTAAAAATCACTGAGTATATAGTAAACATTCTACCCTGTAGAAAACAAAGATTAGCTTTCTAATTTGAAAAGATTGCAATATGGATTGTAATGGGAATGTCCTGATACTAATATATTGTTTTAGCCTCTTGAAATCCTGTTCTTCGGGATGATACAAAATGTCAGTATTTGTGCCCCCTTAAGCATGATTGAAGGAGCCTGGTGGCACAAATGGCTAAGCACTTAGCCACTAACAGATAGGTTTGTAGTTCAAAGCCACCCAATAGTTCTGTGGGTGAAAGACTTGGCAATATGTTTCCATAAAGATTACAGTTAAGAGAATCCTATGGAGCAGTTCCTATGTGTCATCACGTGGGATCTCTATGACGAGACGGTACCCGACGATAAAGTGTACTGGTGGTGTAGTATCTATTTAGACCTTTTATACAAAACAAGACAGGATTTTAAGTATTCATGCAATTTACAAAAAAAGTACAAAGCAAGGCAGAAATGCTTATAGTAAACCAAGCTTGGCTGAAGCGAGACAGTTGACTGGGCAGTTTTTATTGTACTAAATAATTTACAGAAAGGTTGCAAAGCTTAGAGCACAAAGTATCTCTCCAACAACAAATAAGCTATCAAGAGATCATTATAAAGCATTTAAAGCTGGGCTCAATTCAATGGTCTACACACTAACCAATTAATTTTTTCCACATTTACAAACTCCTAGGATAGCTCTTATTTTTAATGCATAAATTAAGTCAGTAGTAAGCTTTAAATAAAGTGCTATTATTTTCAATCCAAAAATTTTATTGTAGCACTGAGATCTTATCTATACTACATTACATTGCATTGGTTAAATCTGCACAAGACCATTAAAAAACTGTTATGAGCAAAGATGTCATTTTGAGGGTTAAGATGCACCTGACCCAAACCATGGCTTTTCAGTAACTTCATCTGCATGTGAAAGCTACTAGACAGTAAGCAGGGCCAAAAAGAACTGATGCCGTTAAATTAGGGTGGTGGTGAGGAATACTGTCAAGACCATGGACTGCGGAACAAACAAGTTTGTCTCGGGAGAAGTACAGCTCGAATGATGCTTAGAAGTTGGGTTTGGGAGACATGTTACCAAGCTTGAGCGAAGGTCATTGAAAAAGAGGAAGCCCTCAAGGATTTGGAAGGACACAGCAGTTGCAGCAGTGGCCTCAGAGGGACGAGCAGTTGGGAAGGCAGTGCAGGACCAGGCAGTGTTCTGCTCGCTGGTAGGCAGGGCTTTGTGAGTCGCTACTGACTCAGTGGCACCTAGTAGAAGAATGCAGGCATAATGAGTGTTCTTGTCAACCCTGAAGGGGAGGAAAGAATGCCATTCATGGGCTGCAAAACTTCTTTGCTCAGGAAAGTAAACAACTGGAGAACAGTAATTCTGGAACAGAAATGAAAACGCTTTCATAAAATGAGAAATGGACTCAACTGTGACTACAGTACATTTAAACCAAAAATCAAATCCACTGCCGCAGAGTTGACCCCACACATAAGGTGTCCAGGACAGTGTATCTTTATGGAAGCAGAGAGCCTCCAAGGGCGCAACCGGTAGGCTGGAATGTTGAACTCGGGGTTAGCAGACTAACATCGAGGCAACCGGACACCAACATCGACTTGGGTCTAAGAGTTTGAGCAGGGTTCTCTCCTGTTTTGATGGCTTCCTGGAGGTAATTTTATTTGAGCAATGTGGCATTTTATTGGTTATCACACATAGCATTTGCTATTTTGGGAAATTCCAAGGTTAAATATTTACCTAAAGGGAAATTGGTGTTTTTTTAAAACACTGGGGCCTGGGGAGGAATTAAACAAGGTTGCGAGGATCAAAATAATGAAGTCCTCATGATTCAAGCTTAATGCACGACAAGCAATACCTTTTAAAGACTTTGACCACATTAGTCATGTCAAAGGAAAGATGTTTCTAGTGTAGGTTTCCTACCTACATGGTGGCTGTTGAGCTGAATGAAGCCTTACGTCTACGCCATCACTGCCCCAGGGAAGAGCTGGAAATACCCTGTCTGCCCGAGGTACTGAGAACAAACAGGTGAAACCATTGCTGGGTCAGGTGCCTCTCTCTCAGGTATTGTGGTGACTCAGGCAGTTTTCTGGCTTCAACAAAATCACATTCTCACAATGTCATCTTCATGGTGGTGCTACAGGGACAAAGCCAGGGGATTTCTCTTCACTGTAAACACACCACATTAACCCTCACACACTCCCCCACACAAAGATTCTATATTTTGAAGCTTTGTGTAAAATTTCCTGAAATTTTCTATCATAGAAATCAAACAAGGAAAATGGAAAACTAATTGTACACTATATTTGTTTCAATAATGATTATTTTTGTTTACAATGAAAAGTAAATTTTTTTGTTCTTAAATTGAATTTTTAAGAATGGAGTGCAGTACACGGTTATTTCCTTCTTTTCAATCCTTTGCTGTTTGTTTTTTTTAAACGAAGAGTATCTTAGAATTAAAGCAATAATTCTAAGACCATTTGAAGATACATTCATTTTTTTACAGCATGAAAGACATACAAATAGCAATTTCTCTTCTTTAAACAATGAAGTAAAAGAAGTTAACAGCTTTGAACTTTTTTGTTCATAGAAAAATATTTTCTACATCATTTATACCACAACATTCTAAGCAAATTCTACAGTGTTTAACTGAAACTTTCATGAGCATAACAAGGCCTCCACATATTTTCCTTTTTAGACTGGAAATGTAAAAAGATTTAAACTTTGAAGTGCCTTCTTAAGTTTAATCTTTAACTTGCAATATTGCTAATACATTTCACTCTTGTAAATTAAACAAATTAAAATTTGTTTCACTTACTAATGCAAGGAACAAGATCTAGCCAATTCTCCCCAGCAAATACGATTGGACTGCATATTTAGTGTGAATTACTAAATTACAATGACCACAAAACACAGAAATCAACAGTATACAGCAGTAGAAAAACATAAATAGCAGCAAATTTAGGTATGAAAACAAATATTTAATGTGTACCTATAACAGCTTCACCAAGATCGTAAAAATAAAATGATAAATAATTCCAGGCTGACATAGGGCTTTTTATTTTTAATGTCATTGAAAGGCTTATTCTAGTAATTCCTACTGAGAACATAGACTTTATATGTAATAAGGAGCCCAATGGCAGTGGCTAATGCGCTGTCGACAGTGGAGTTTGCTAGCTGTTCTGCGGGAGAAAGGTGTGGCTGTCTACTTCCATAAAGATTGCTAACTTTGGAAACCCTGTGGGGCAATTCTAATCTGTTCGTCAGGCTGCTTAGAGTTGGAGTGGCCTCTAAGGCAGTGGTTTGTTTAATTTGGGTATGTGTAATACAATTGTGATGGTAATAGTTGCAAACGTTATAAAGTGAGCTGAAGCATACAATTTAGTGATTACTTCCTCAGGTTGTTTTTTTGTAACAAAGGAGTTACATACTAGCAATTATTGCTCAAAAATGTTTTAGGATTATGTAAATTCCTTGTTGGGGATAAAATTTTCTAAGTATTTTATTAAATGGTTGTTATTATTTATCACAGTTGGACACCAATAAAATTTTACCAATAGATTAACAACTCTGATATTTGCTACAATTAATTGTTTGTTTTTATAGCATGGGTGTTTCACTTAGAAGAAACACCACAAAAAAATTGTTCCAGTAATTGTAGCGCAGTAATGGGAGTAAATGTGAGAAGTAAACAAAATTGATATAAACTCAGTTACATTTTTGATGTGAAAGCTTACATAAAAAACTTTGGATGGTATGTTTTATCTATATTTTATTATGTTATTAAGATGTTTATTCCAACAAATAATTACCATAAAGGGTGTACTGCGATTTAAATGTAAATTTATCTGAACTACAAAATAATTAAGAAGAGCCTGTAAACATTTTCCACATTACTGTGGTATTTAATCCTCATAAAATTCAAAACTGCTTTGGCAACTTTATCATCAGAATAGTTCTATATTCAAAACCCACATAATTAAATAGCATACTATCAATTGTCTCGGTCTCTTTTCCTGGTAAAACAAGTAATATTTTAATTCAACCACATGTTCACAGTATGAACATAAATGGATTATAAAGATAAAGCCTAAATCTTTGTTTTTATGTTTTAAGAGCTTGTTTAAAATCAGTCCTCTAATTCTTAAGAATGTTTTTGTACTGCATGTACAGGAAACTAAGTACAGAAACATATGTTCCACCAGGGAATCATGCTTAGCAAACGCATTGGCACCTCAGATGGGAACACCTTTTGAACCCTTACTATCATCTCATTTAAGTCAAAGCTTCTAAGGTCATCATAGATGATACTTCTGTGAGCTGAAAGTCTAAAATTTATAAAAAGTTATGACCTTAACATATATTGATGACTTACAGAAATCCCGGAATTTAGACATACCCAATTGAGAAAGGAAACACAAAGAGTAGAAAGCCCGAACCTGCTAGCCCAGTGGCCCTTTGGGGGCTCTTTCGTGCCTACACACAGGGCAGGAGATGGAATACATCTTTCCAGCTCCGTTTAGCTTTCTGGTTTTATTACTTCCAGTGGAGACAGGAGATGTTTGCTCACATACCTCATTAGACCAGCTCGGACTTGCCAAGAGATTATAAACGCTATAGTTAAAATAAGCCTTTCCCCCTACTTGTCAGCAATAGCCACTGTGCAATGCACCCATAACTAAATGCCCCACGAGCCTCCATGTGTACACAGTAGTACTGGATACCTGCAAGCCACTCCCTGAATGCCTCCACATACACGTGCACATTTGAAGTCAGGTTTTATATACTAAATTTTCTTTCTTCCTAATCAAAATGATCCTTCCTTTTTACCACTCCTACTGTACCAGCAGGCCACATAAAGGGAATTATATTTCTTAGGCTAGCTCTATTTGGAATGGATGCACTGGTTTAAAAATACTACCATTTTTTTGGGGGGGGGGTGTAAGAATATAAGTCTATTCCACATCCTATGTACACAGTGCGGATACAAATCAGATGCTCAATTAAACACTCGAACTAAACATGGAAAAGCCACCCCAACTCAGAGGAGGAAAGGTTCACACAGTAATTCTTAGCATTTACAAAAGCTCCTTGCATCATTACTATTTCCGCTTGTCAGAACAAAGATCAACATCGCTTTCTTGAGTGTGTGTGTGGCAAGGGATGATGAAGACGTGGCTGGAGGATGGGGAAGATAGCTTATAAGCAAGAAATTTGGCATTTTACCACATAAAACTGCGCTGATGTGGTTGAATTGTAGAGCTATTAGAGTGTGAAAGTTAAGATTCCCAGAACCCTATTTCAAGGAACAAAATGCATAATAATTCCCAGCTGTTATAGTCATATTTTTGGGGTGAGTAGGGAGACAATTAGCATTTTAAGAAGATGTGAGGGATAATTTATTTGAAATTTAAGTAAGATCCCAAGAAAAATGGTTTAAAAAAAAAGGATTTTCTGTACATAAAATTAATGATAGAGGTTGAGTCTCCGGTGAAAATTCATACACGAGAAATTAAAATGTCATGATAAACTCCTACATTGTTATTTAAAGACATGAGTTAATGATTAGAAATAGCCAGCAGTGCACATTGACTACAGATTATTATGTAAATCAACCCTTAAAGCACATGCCAACCTTAACATTTGCTGGGTCTCTCTTTGTCTGTGGCTGCATATTCTGTCTGAACAATTAAAATACTCTGATGAAAATCAACTGCTAAAATAGTTATTAAATATGTAGACCCCCAGCATGATTTTATGTCTTCACTTTCAACTCACCATGGTGGTACACAGCAGCCCAAATCACCTCCATTTGTTGCTAGAGAGTGGAATGTTTACATAAGATTTAGTTATTAACTACCGCATATAATTGTGTGTAAGCCCAGTTTTCCAGCACATTTTTAATGCAGTGTTTGTGGTAAAATTAGGTGCCTCGGCTGATATTTGGGTTGGCTTATACGCGAGCATATACGGTGTCTTCGGCAGTTTTGATTATAAAATCTGGGAAGAGAGAAGAGAATTTCCCTTTAACGTAAAGGTTATATTCACCTCCCTTTTTAAACTAATTTAGAATATTAACAATAATTTATTTGGTATCTTGGCTATTAATATTTAGGAGCTTAACTTTCTAAAGCTTATCATCGTACATTTTGAGCATATGGAAATATCATTTTGAACATACTGAAGTTTCTCAAATGTACATTTTCCCTCATATAAAATGGCATTCTAAAATAGCTACCATTTTACTCTAAATTTTATCAAGACTATAGAGAAATATTAAAAACTATCACCATTTCAATATATTTTGATCACAATTCATATTAAATAACACTTAAGTAGGTGAGGAAACTTTCAATGATTAAACTGGGTAATTAAAAATAAACAAAAACCCCGAAGAGGAAAACATACACCTCCTTAAAGGGAAATCAGATCTTCTGTTGGACTGGACAACCAAACCTCTCCTTATTAATTTGCCATAAACTACAAACTGGAGCAAATTGTATGCAAAAGTGCCCAATAATTGTCACTACAGCTAGAGTAATTACATGTCGAAATAGGTCAAAAACATCTCATTCCTTATCTGAAGTACCACAGCCTATATACTACTGTGAACAAAGTTTGAGATGGACTGAAATGAACTCTGAAAAGTAGCCATTTGGTTAGTGGTAGGAAAAAAATCAGAATAGGTTATTACAGTTTTAACTTCAGGGGACCAACAGGTCTAACTTTGATGTGCATATTGTATCATATCTAAAGGTAGAGCTGAAATAGGTATGGGATCTGAAGGCTACAGCGTCCTGCATGTTCAGCTGCTAAACTTTAACCCTGGCCGCCAGTACAGGAGTGTGCGCGTTTTGAATAACTTCATAGCAGGAGAGCGCTAGCCCAGTAGAACACAAATTCTTCTTCTTTTTTTATGGTAAAATACAAGTACTGAGTAAGAATGAAAGCAACAGAACGTCTTTACTCTGACTGCATAACTCGCAATACAAGAAGCTGTTTTTTAAGATGTGAGCTTATTCAAAATTCATAAAAATGTAAGAATATACAATATACATACCTCCTAGTAGGGTCAAAAGAGTGCCTTTTCATTAGACATACAAGGGTGTCTCAAGGCACTTAAGGGGTTAAGACACGATGCATGCATTCGTTTACATCAAGTATCTGAAACCACATGATTTGGGATAAGCCAGGCTTATGATAAATATGTTACATTATTAAATTCAAGAAACATTATAGATTCGTATTTATACTTTCTATAAGATGCTGGTAAATGAACAATGTGCAGCATTTCCTGGGAATAGCAAATTCCATCTTTCTTCTTATGAACAGCAGGTCTCTATAGGGGAGTACAGGGGAACATGTGCTGCATCCGAAGGCAGTATACTGGCTAATATTGAGAATGATATTGCTAAAATTTTAAAAATAAAACCTGAAACTCTGTATATAGTTAAGTACATGAATCACAGGAAATACCATGGCCGACATCCTGATGCTTACTTCTTTTCGCTTTCAAGATACAGAGATGTAGCAGAGCTCTCGGAACCTTGTTTGTGGCAACTGCACCAGAAGGGACTGCATGGCCCCACCACAGAATCTCACAGCTCACCCTGAACATCCTCAGTCAGTCACTATTTGTGTGGAGCAAAGCATGAACTAGTCTTTAAACATTAAGTCCAAGAGTTCGAGAGAATGACTTTTAAAATGTAAAGTGCAACAGTGCTGAAGATTTCAAAGTCTGTCTTAGCTCCTCATTTCCTGTAGACGCCACTTCCTGCAAGCAGCAGGACGGCTCACTGCAGAGCCTGTTCCAGCCTGTCTTCCAGTCCTTTTCTTTCATTTGTCTGGAGACGGTAAGGGCTTAACCAATCCTTCTTCATAGACTTTCAAAATAGCTTCACATACAAATCTGTACTGACTCTGAAAAATCAAATAGGAAAAACAGAATTGATAAAAAACAAACTAGGAAAGGAAACCAGACAAACATTCGCGTTAGGAGAAGGGCTGCAAAGAGACATCACTAGCAAAAAAGAAAAAGGTTGACCACATGTTTGTGTTGGTAAAACCCTATCACATAGTTCTAGGATGGAAGTAAAATCCTACAATTTGTAATTTGGAAATACATATATTAAAAATACATTAATTTGTCCTCTGATCAGAAAAAGAAACTATAGAGAAAAAAATACATAAACAAGTCCACTGCATAGGATTATTTATAGTAACAATAAACTGAAACAACACAAAATGGCATCAATGGACTTGAGTAATTTATTTATACTCTTATGATGACATCCTACATAGAATGGTTCTAGGACATTTTGTTAATTAAAAACAAAGCAGACAAAACAACCAAGGTCCACTTGAGGGAAGGCGTCGCAAGGCAGGGGCACAGGACCACAGCCCCAGGGGCGCCAGGTCAACTGGCATAATAAAGTCCAGAGAGATACTGCTTCCAGGTTACTTTGCTGAGTAGGGACCAGAGTCTTTTTTTAAAAATCATTTTATTGGGGTGCATACAACTGTAATCACAATCCATACATATGTCAATTGTGTAAAGCACACTTACACATTTGCTGCCCTCATCACTCTCAAAACACTCGCCTTCTGCTTTGGCTCCTGGAATCAGCTCATTCCCCCCCCCCCCCTCCCCCCGCGAACCCTTGATAATTTATACATTATTATTTTACCATATCTTACACTGCCCGACATCTCCCCTCACCCACCGCTCTGCTGTCCATCCCCTAGGGAGGAGGCTATATGCAGATCCCTGCCATTGGCTCCCCTCTTCCATCCCTCCTTCCCTTCTCCCTCCTGGCATCACCACTCCCACCACTGGTCCCGAGGGGCCCATTCGTCCTGGATTCCCCATGTTTCCAGTTCCCACCTGCACCACTGTGCATCCCCTGGTCCAACCAGGTCTACAAAGTAGAACTGGGATCACGACAGTGGGGGATGGGGAGGAAGTGTTCAAGAACTAGAGGACAGTTGCTTGCCTCATCAATGCTACACTGCACCCTGAGTGACTCATCTCCTCCCCACTGCCCCTCTGTGAGGGATGTCCAGTTGTCTACAGATGGGCTTTGGGTCCCCATCCCCAACTCCCCCTCGTTCACAATTATATGATTTTTTTGTTCTTTGGTGCTTGATACCTGGTCCCTTCGACCCCTCATGATCACGCATGCTGGTGTGCTTCTTCCATGTGGGCTTTGTTGCCTCTGGGCCAGATAGCCGCTTGTTTATCTTCAAGACTTTAAGACCCCAGATGCTATATCTCTTAATAGCCAAGCCAAGCACCATCAGCCTCTTCACCATACTTACTTGTGAACACATTTGTCTTCAGCTTTTATATGGGGAAGGTGAGCACACAATGATGGTTTTTGTTCTTTGATGCCCGATACCTGATCCCTTCAACACCTCGTGATCATACAGGCTGGTGTGCGTCTTCCATGTTGGCTTTGTTGCTTCTGAGCTAGATGGACGCTTGTTCACCTTCAAGCCTTTAAGACCCCAGGCGCTATATCTTTTGATAGCTGGGCACCATCAGCTTTCTTCACCACATTTGCTTATGCACACGTTTGTCTTCAGCGATCGTGTCGGGAAGGTGGGTATCATGGAATGACCGTTTAGTTGAGCAAACTGTTCTTGTATTGTGGGAGTACGTGAGTGGGGGCCCAATGTCCATCTGCTGCCCTACTACTAAACCTATAAATATATGCACATAGATCTATTTCCCCTGTAATCATAAATATATTTACATATGTACATGTCTGTATTTAGGCCTCTATGTGTGCCCTTTGCCTCCTATTTCTTTCCTCTAGTCCCACTACCATGCTCAGCCTTCATTTGGGTTTCAGTAATTCCTCGGTTACATTACCCTTGATCACTCCCTACCACGGACTGGAGTCTTAAAAAAGCTCATCTAAGTAGCCATCTAAGTTACAACTATTGGTTTTTCTCTGTCCAGAAAAAAGAAAACATGTTGAAAGTCAAAGATGCATGGAAACAATTAATCCAATGGAATAATGGACCAGCAAACATCAGTTGCCCAGATCCAGAGAGTAAAAGAACTAGAAGGTTACAACTACCTACTGCTCGGAAAGGGATACTGGATACTAGATACTAGAGAGGGAAAAAAATGTGGAACAAAACTCCAATCATATAAAGAAACAAGACTTATTGAGCAAATAAAGACTGGGAAAAACCTAGGCTACAGCCCTTAAACATCTTTTAGGTCTGGAAATGAACTCAAGCCTACAGCTCAATTTTCATTAACAATCGACAGGTTTATCAAGGGAACAATAGCACTACTGAGTTACACGTATCTTAGACTAACCAACCTTCTGAGATAAAAAAAGGAAGCAATTACAGAAGGAAAATGTTCAGAAAGGTTGTGGAAGAAGGAATGGAAATAGGAAACAGGATGGATGATAAGTGATGATACATTGTGAGGGTGGCAATGGATGGGTTGAAACAAAATATGTATGCACTGTTGAATGGAAAACTTCTCTGCTCTATAAACCTATATACAATTTAAAGTTAAAAACAAAACCAAACCCTAAAGTGTAGAAAAGTATGTACATTTTTAATAACAGAATATAAATATATTATGATATATAAAAGGGATGGATTAATAATAAAATTGTTTCTTTTAATGAGGAAGAGGAACTATGTTGCAGACAATAGGTAGAAACCAATTTGTTTTTTCTAAATGCTTCCATTATAGATTTGAATTTTGAGCCATAGAAATATAGTACATAGCTCCAAAATTAATATGAAAAACCTCTGAATATTGGACACTAATATTAAATCAACATAAGCAATTACTTATTCCAAGTCGGAGGCAGAAACTGTTCATCCTGGAGCTAAAATATCTTATCTATAAAGGAATCCATAAAAGATTACAAGGGTTTTTCACAAAAGGATGTAAGTGTTGGGTCAGGCACAGTTGGGGGACATTAGGAAAAGCCTGCCTGTCCTTATCAGACCAAGACAGCTAGCTTCAAATGGCAGCAGAACAATGAGCCATCTCCTCAGTAGCAGGCAGAATGATCAAGGAAGGCACCACTCTACCTTGGAATTTTATGGACCGAGGCAGCTTAAGGCCCTGCAGCTGCAATTCCTACCCCACCCCCTTCCTCATTTGCCCACCTGCAGCTTCTACCCCCTCCCTTTATGGCTTACCCTCCTGGCCAGCTGGAACCTTGCTCCCCACCACCGGTGAATGTGACTTCTCAGATCCCGCTGGGGCCAGTGGAGCTGGGAGCTCAGGCTTTCCGCTCTCTCCCAACTCCAGCCCGGGCAGGGACACTTCCCTGACTCCTTGCTGGAGCCTGTGAATCTTGCCCCGGAAGCACAGAATAAACCTCTCCTTTTCTTTCTCTCAGGCCTGGCTCAGTTTATCTTTGCAGCAAACCTCACAGTAAGATCTAGCATGAATAGGCTTCCATTGGCCAAAAACTGGAGTAATTTTGATACCATTAAGAAAATTAAGTATAAGAGGTTAAATCATACCCCAAAGCCAAACCAGTTAGCTGATGAGAAAATTTTCTTTTAATTATTGAAGATAACAAATGAAGAAAGGAAGGATTAGGATATCATAATTTAAAGCACCAAAGAATTAATGGCTATAGGCAATGGTCACCTGCCATTGTGAAGCAATGTTAACATCATGAAAAGAAAGACAACTAGACGGTATGAGCCTTTTGAAGGAAGACAGACACCATGTAAAATACTTAAAAGACTACAGATTCAATGACCACTCTTAGGGAACACAGAGGACAATATCTTGGTGGCACAATCAGCAAAGTTTAGACTCTTGGAAACAGCCCCCAAACCTGGTTTATCCATGAAATGGACTGCATGGAGAAAATAAAGAAGTCAAGGAATAATCTTCAAGAAAATATTTGCAAAACAAATCAAGCCATGGTATAAATGCCATGGCCAAGTGAGATTTACTACAGGAATGCAAGGTTTGTTTGATACCCACAAATCAATCAATATAGCATGCCCAATTAATAGAATAAAACCACACAGGTAAAAAAAAATAGCATCTGAAAAAATTCAGTGCGCGTTCATGTTGAAAACGCAACAAATTCGTTAAAGGAGACCCTTCCTCAATCTGATAAAGGTATTTATAAAAATTCTACAGGTATATGGTATGAGGTGATTAAAGACTGAAAGCTTTACTCTAAGATCAAGATTAAGACATGGGTGTCTGCTGTCACTAGTCTATTCAACACTGAAGTTGAATACAAGAAGTTCTTACCAAAGCACAAGAATAATTCAAGAACACAAGAAATCACTGAATTTCTATACATTCGCAATGTGCAATTCAACAATAACATTTTCCTTTACAGTAGCACCAAAAGGGCAATATGTGGAATAAACTTTAAAAAGAAGGGTACAACTTACTGAAAACAACAACAACAAAAACATGTTGAAAGAAATAAAAGCAGACCAAAATAAATGGGAATACACCTTGGATTCATGATCTGAAAGACTGAGCATTGTTAAGATGGCAGTACTCCCCAAAGTGATCTACAGATTCAATTAGCACCTAGTAAAACTACAGCTGCTAATTTTGTACAAATAGACAAACTCATTCAAAATGCAGGGATGAAGAACTTCCAGCAAGATGGTACACTAAACAGACAGCTACACTGAAGGCACAAAAGATTAAACAGGTACCTGATAATCCTGAGATTTACAGGGAAGGACAGAGATGTGGACTGACTACAAACCCAGAAAAGACGCTGAGTAAGAGCAGCTACAGAATAGAGCAAGGGTCAGTTAGACTGGCCCTCGTGAACTTACTAAAGCAACGATCAATCTGAACAGTGGTCTGGCAGGTGCACACTGGTGGCTGGAGAAAAGGAAGGGGAGACCCTCCCTGTTTCCCACACCCTCCTAGTGACCAGAAG